CAAGTCGGATCGATACAGATGATATCGGAGCCGGACTCCATAAGTAGATGTGTAGTTCATGGACGAATTAGGCCCATACCTAGTCTAACGAGATCAAAAAGTGCTCATCGGGGGCAACATGGCTCAAACAAGTTGCGATTTTTCAAAGGCTTTTAAGATGGTGGAGGAGGTAGGAACGAACCAGATCACTCATCGATTAAGGAGAGTATTACTTGATGAGCATGTTAGTTCTTTAAGTTGGGAAGTTTGTGACGTCCTACAATATATATTACATTGAATGGAGATGGCCTGCGAAAAAATTCATAAGTAAGATCCAACTTTAAATGATCATCAACTTGTGTGGTTACTTGGATACTCCTTTTAAAAATTTGGCCCATGTGAAACGGCCTGAGTCATGTACATACATACCTAGGTTTGTGTTAGAGAGAGATGATTGCGAAAAGAAATAAAAATAACATAGTTTTTTTTTAGCAAAAAAAAAAAAAACATAGTTTTTTTATGGATAGGGGGAAGCAACTTTTTGGTTTTCTTAGATATGCAACTTTCCCTTTTTTCTTGATTTATGAAACTTGACCTGTATTGTGTGCATCTTGATGCTTATGTTGCATGCTTGCGTGCTCAAACAGTATGCTATGTCAAGGAAGACAATGTTTTCTTCAGATGGCACATGAGTTGGTATCTGTGAACTCCTTGTCATTGTGTTCACCCGTTAGGACTGCCCACCACACACCCAGTATGCAATATAGATAATTAAATCGAGCAATTCCCTTTATTTAGTATTGGGCCATATTTTCCTCCATCTTTAGTGGGAGATCCTTCAACTAGTCTTCTAGGTTTACAAACACGAACATCACTCATATTTGTATTTAGTTCAGTTTCCATGTGGGTGATTTTCATAACTCTGTAATCACCATAAATCAAACCCATGAATTATTTCAAAATTCAAATTCGAGATAACTATCTAGAATCCTTATCTTTTCAAGGGATGAACCTCTCTTCTGTCCTCAAATACCATTTTAAAAGTCTTTTATATATTAAATAGATAGAATAAAAGTTCAATCGAGATCTTTGAGGAGAAAAAAGCATAACAAACCTCATGGCCCTTTTCTCACATCATTTAATTTTCTCATGCCTTAGTAATTTTACCAGAATCCATGTACACGCTATTCAATATGTAGTGAATAAAATTTTCAAGAATCCTTGTAGACAGCGAGAATAAAGGAAGAAGAACCTACGACTCCATGTGTTAACGACATGAGAAGGAGAATAAGCCTACTACGACAACTCCTCCAGCCGAATAAGCCTTGCTGCGAACCTTATTCAGTTTCATTATATGGAGAATCATGTGTTACATTTCACTTTTGAGAAGCGGCCAGGATTCTCTCAATTTGTTTTCTGTACTCACACATGTGCACATGCCAATAATATGCGCAACAAAAGCTGCGTTGATACGTAATAATTCCCCCACTTCGAACCTTGTAGGTGGAACCTTACCTAATGCATGTGGATGGTTCCGTTTAAGATCGTCCGTAAGAATGAGTCGAGCTAAAAGTTAGATACCTGTGTTATTTGAGAAAAAAGAATCGTGTTTGAACCTCATCGATAAGTTCTTTTGGATGTGGTATACGTAATTCACCAATGCTACTGAAACTAATGGAAGTAATTGTTGGGTTCTATTAGGGTCATCATGGTTTGATTCAGTTCGGTTTGACCTATTTTTCTGTCAAAATCAAACTTAGTCGGTTTGTAATGAAAACGTACATCGAAATCCAAAGTTAATTGTTATCGCTTTGATTAAATTTTAGACAATAACTTCTATTCCATGCAAAATTAACTCAAAATCCATACTAAACCATAGAGAGACAATAAACAGGACATTCATATCATCAAATCAACCTAATCTTGCATTATATATAACAAACAAAGTTTTAACTATCACAACGACGTACTTTGTCTTTTGGTGATGCTTGCCTCGAAGGTTCCTTGAATCATACTTCTGATTGATGGCAATATACTTAATTATTACCTAAATGCAGCCTTATCTTACATTCATTGATACTATACAGAAAAAAGATCCATATCTTTTTCCGGGCTATAATGTCCTCTAATGTATATCGGTGGGCACGCAAAATTAGCTAAAGAAAAATGTAGGTGATATCCATGGTTATAACCCACCAATTGTGGCCAGAGGAAAACGCGAACCTTTTTTTCTTGCTAAATTTGGAGGAAAGTTCCATTGTTTCGATTTACCTCCCTGTTCTTGGATCGTGTGTATCCCACATGGGCCTACAAAAACCGAAAGTTAATGATGCATTGGGTGAATGGATGCCGTGCTCTCGATGCACCTAAGAGTTTCTCCCCCTATAATGAGATGATGGAAATGGCCATGTTTCATTTATGTATTGTGATATTTACCTAATAATCTATGCAGCCAATCTGATTACTTTTAGATCAAGCCAGTGTCACATGTAATTGAAAGATGAGCTTTAAAAATTCTGTTATTGGAAGTCTTGGAATGGGAATATTATCTGATCAACGAATGTAGTTGGCTACCACACTAAAAACTATGTATGTGTCACAGTGTTGACACACCTCAATCTTGTTAAATACTTGCAAATAAATAAATAATGTAAGTGATTAATGTGTAATTCCATATATCTTTCGCAAAGATTTCGTTGACATCCTTTCAACCTATTCCCAGTTTTGACGGGGAGATTTGGAGGGAAGAGAAGAGATTCTAGGAAAGAGCTTAGAAAACAATCTTTGATTTGAGTGGAAGGAGGAGAACAAAGTCAATGTTAATATCAAGGTCCTCCAAAATGGGGGCAAATTTGGAGAGACTTGAGAGTTTCTCATGGTTTAAGTGGCTTTTCGTTCTTTTCTCCTTATTTCATTATGTTCCCATCATTTTCATCCCAATAACAAAAAAACAGTCAGTCAATTTGTTTTTCCTTTTCAATTAACCATGCCTCTTCTTTTAAATTGCTATTTCCCCCATCCAAACATATGTTGAGGGCGCTTAACAGAAGCTCTGATACCGCTTGTTGGGTGCGCACAGCAAAAGCTCTAATACCGTTTTTGAGAAAGATCGGAAACACACTCTTCTCTTTGAGGCAATATCGGTTGGGAGAACGTCTTCCACATACACAAATGAGAGCACTTGTTTATTTATAACTTTACAAGAGGGTGTTTCACTCACCCTAGATCGCTCTAGAGATTAGTAACCCCCCTTATAATGTTTTAGAGATTAGTGGCTTACTTCCCCTAAAAACATCTAGGATTAATTGGAGAAGAGAGAAGGTGAATCTTCAACATAAACGATTCATAACTTTCTTTATTTACACATCAATTTTTTTTTTCACTTACTCATACGAGTGTACTAGTTTACCCAGAAATTCAGAGTTATCAAATATGATGTCCATTCCGTTGTTAGAAATCAAATTGCCAATATGACAAATGCTATTCATTTAATCTAATTTTAATCTTTTACATTGAAGTGTGCGATTTGTTTCGCTAAAAATGAATGATTTGAAAAATTCAAAAAATGATCGTTTGTATCGTATGAATGAACGGAAAATACTTCCATCGCTCACGAAAATTTTTAGACATAAATTATTGTTGATAAGGAAAACTTTTTTAATTGATTAATTATTTCAAGCGATATAAACAATTATTTTTAGGAAATATTTTCCAAATCATTCATTTTTCGCGAAACAAACTGAGCCTAACTGTAAAATGATTGAGGATGAATTCAACTCTTTTACCCGGTTAATAATATACCACCTTGGTTGATTTCTGCATTTAACTTTTGACTTTTTGGAAAATTTTACGGAACTCACACTTTGATTTGTTTATAATCCAACACACTTAAAGCCTTTCAATATATTCAAATATTGTCATCTATAAAAATATTTTCATAATTTTTAAAAATTACATAGATATTTTTGTTCAAAATTTGGAGAGAAAGTCATAAGCAAAAGTCAAAAGTAGCTGATAAATTGCAACAAACAGGCTCTTCGTTTTCAAGTTGCTTCTATCAAATTCAATGTCCATGCCAGTAAACGTGTTAGCAAGGGTTTGCACATTTAAATATATTAGATAATGATTCTATTTAACAATTTAAACTTTTTGGGATTGCAATTTAATTTTGAAATCATGCCCAAGTAAACTGCATGTTGTGCTATGATCGATCAGTTGAAAAAAAGTCATTTTGATGATCACTTCCATTTTATACAGTGATATATCTATCTTTTTTTATCATCTTGAGCCAAGGAGGTGTATAACTTGGTTAAAAGGGAACTTTGGCACAACTTTTTCATTAAACAGTTCTGAGGATTTAGGGACAAGTACATTAGAAGTTTCAAATTTTTTTGTACGATGCTCATTCAATTTTCTTAGCTTTTCAAAATGTATTCATTCCTTGCCAAAAGCTAACGTTCAAAAAGCTAGGTAAAAACAACTTTATCGTTAAAAAATGCCACGCTAGCATTTTAGGCGATCTAAGTCACTGGAGTGACTTAAATGAATGAAATTTGAAAGTTTTAGTATCCAAATGAACGATTAAAAGTTACAGCAATAAACTTATAAGCGTCGTACAAAAGATTGAGAACTTCCAATGTATTCTTCCCACATGAAGAAATACTTGCAAGAAAAAAAATACTTTTGGGTTCATTCAATGTAAATTATGTAATGCTGAAGAGAACCTGTATATTAGGGCGTGTTTCTTTTGGGGGAAACTTCATGACAAAGGAAAATGCTTTTTGGGAAATCATTTTTCAGGCAAATTTATCCTCTTTTTAGGTTATGGAATTGATATTCCTAACTTTAAGTAAGTACATTTTCTTTGACCGCCAATGGTTTTCCATTGTCTGATATTGTCAACAAACCAAACTTGTGAAAGTCCAGAAAACTAATTTGCGAAAAATTCTTTCACGTAAAAAAAAACCCTTAAATGTACTTATTTTTCACTCATACAATCACATTCACTATAAAGAGAAAGATTTAGCTAACAAATTTCTGAGGTGAAATTGAATTTTACTTCCAGTCGTGAAATAAACATGAAAGATAAAAAAGGGCATTTGAGAGGATTGCAGTCAGGGGATATAATCCCTTCCGTTCTTACATAATAATAATAATAAGCAAAGGTTTCATAGAGAGTCTTCGCATCTTCAAATGAAATACGAGGTAGCTTTGAGCAATCAAGCACAGGTTCACTTGTTTAGCAGTGCCGACCTTGACATCAAATGCTTATCGGAATGCTGCATGGAAGTTGAAAAATAAAGAAAATGAGGAATGAATGAGATTGCAGAGAAGAAATAGGGCCGATTAAGGACATAGAATGATCAAGTCTCCTAATAAAAACTTTACACATATTCATACCGTGATGATTAGTAGTTACTAACATGGACAAGATGATAATATCCATTGCAAGATTAAATGTTAAACAACCTCAAAGTACTCGCACCAATCACAGGCCATTTCAGGCGAAACACATGCTCGAATGAATTGGACTGTCACAATATGCAGTTTGATACATTGAAACTAGTTTGGTGTAAGCTCAGCCAATACAGTTCTGGAAACATACATGGTCCGTGCATTCTATCTGTGGGGTTCTAACGCAGGCATCACATGTTTCTTGAGGTATCATTTGTCGAGTCTATTTAGAATATATATTCTAGGCAATAATTTTGTACATTATTTTTATGACCAGACTAAATTAGCGGCAACAATGAAACAATTAAACGTCAAACAAGTTCAGAAAGGTTTCTGCACCAAAGCTCAAGGAACATCTCCTTTTAGATTACAGGCACTTAGGAGGGGCACAGACTATTGCAGATAATGCTCTATAGGTATCATATTGAACAGCATACTACTGAAACAGAATCTAAGAAACAGTCTCTGTTTACGGAGTTTCTACCAAAAACTTTCAAAAAAATGCAAGAACGTCTGAATATGTATTGTGAAGCCAGCTAGTAGAAAGAACTGAGTAATTCGTGTATGATGGAGAGGAACTTACGTTATCCATTTTGGCCTGATTGTTGTTGTCTAACATCAGCCCGAAATGAATATGGGGAAAGTGTGCCCACTAGTATAGATAGCAAAAATCATTAAGAAACAAATTAAATGAAAAGATATGGGCATTAGCATTTCACCCAACAAAAATTAAATAGAATTACTCAATCTATCAGAATCAACTCACGTTTTTGGCAGCAGTACTGAATGCTTCCCTGTGACTAATGTCCGGATTACTTGCCTTGATCCTCTGAATCTCCTCTCTAAAAACATCACCATGATTTTGACCAGAGGACAATAACCAAATATGTCAATAATTGCTGAGAGCTTTCTTTCTTCTTTTATCATGGAAAAAGAAAAATAAAAAAAAGGACATTGTTTTAAGCGCATGCTGTGCAGCGATTTCTGTTTCATTACTTTATGAACTGGTTATAGGCTGAAGGTACACGCTGCCTCTTCTCGGGAGCTGCAAATCCAAGAAAGCTACAACTCATGAGTTATCACACATTATAAATATATATATATTGTAATTTTGTCCAGTCAAAACTTTTTGTATCATTCTTTTTTTTGAAAAATAACTTCATTATATCATTCATCAAGCACATAACGAAATTTATTAACAAATTGATCTTTCACTTCACAAGGATAGACTCGTCCCCTCGGAAATTATTCACAACATGCCAAGTAGTTGTTTTATAATCAGAGGAGGTCATTTTCTTCTTCTTTTTTATTTTATGTAAATTGAATTTTTCTCTTATGGTCGAAAGAACGTAAATACCTTATAAATGGAAATATGAAAATGTCATTTCTCAAAGTAGAAGTTTCATGAGAAACACTGTATAAGTATGCAGGTTTTTCCTCATTGCTCGCATCCAGAGATTTTATGAAATGTCTGTAATTTTGGTAGAAAAGCACTAAGTTTAGGTTGTCTAAGGAGAAAATTCCATACTCACGTCGATTAACAACCCTTTGCTCGGTGACAGTCGCCGATGGTGCTCGCATTGTGATCTTGTTATTGCCTTTTGAAGATGAACCCATGTCAATCTTGTAATCCTGCCTAGGAGCCTATATGAGAAAAATTTCCAGAGAGGAGAGATTGCATAAGTTAGCTGTGATTAGTAGTGCAAGATCAAAGAAAAAAAGCTCATTGCTTTAGCTATTACATCTCTTTTCCACAAATTTCTTCAGCAATATTGTTAACTTGGAAGTTGAGCTTAACGAGTCCTTTAAGAACTCCCCCGGTGAAGAAGGGTAATTATTTTCACACTATAGAGTTATGCAAGTGAGGAAGTAAAAAGGCGTTTCCCTAAAGAAAAAAGGTACCTTAATATGTACTAATTGAGGAAAAATGAGAAAAAAAAAGTGGGGGCAAAAAGAAGAGGTCTTAGGTTAGCACATATAGGATGGCGTTGACAATACTTTATACATTTTTCATGTGGGCAATGTCTTTAGAGAGAGAGAGAGAGAGAGAGAGAGAGAGGTGAAGTGATGTTTTCTGGGATGGAGCTAGGGGAGAGAGAAAAAACCGGCATTGAAGTGACTGGATCAGTCATAGAATGGTGGCTAACATTGAGAGGAAAGAAAACAATAATAATTATAATAATTGCACATAAAGCCCAGATTGACAGTCCTTTCAAACCAAGGCCAAGCCCTCTCTCTTTCTTTGGGATCTTAAAAAACACAAAAAAAGAAGGAAAAAACTCCATTTCTTGAGACTTGTTTCCACAACAGAGGACGCAGATCTCATGGGAAAGAACCGATTCTTTTGACTCAAATCCATCCTCAATCAAATCAAGATTCAAAATATTAAAGAGAAACAGTAGCTAAAAATAACCCTAGGGAAGGGAAAAATGATGCTTTTGCCTTGAAGAGAGTGGACAGAAACTGACTCAAAATAACAACTTCGGCCGCAAAATCCAGCTCTCCTACACAAAAGCAAAAAAACACATAGGCTTTGGTCCTATGACGGCTGCTATAGTCGCATTTCAGAGACCATAAAGAATTGAAAACCCTACATCGTCATAAATTTGGACACACCATATTAGAAATGTTCTTTTTTTTTTCTCTAAAGGAACCCAAAAAAAAAGAAGGAGGAGAAGTTATTGTCAGCACACCTGAAAATCTTGCCAATTGGTGAATGACTGTAAAGCAGCAGCAGCCATGTTGACAGACCAAAGATTAGAGCAGTGGCCGCACCGGATGGTCACTATGTCGAGCATGCTACTGCATGGAACACTCACCTGTATAACATCCGCAAATCACAAGATCAATCAATACCTATGTTATCTAGTGAAACTTAATCACTGCCAAAAAGAGAAGAACTAAGGAAGAAAACCCAGATCAGGAAACGAATAACTATTTTTTGGTTGCGATCTGTCTGATTAGATACTGTTTTTTCTTTTTTTAATGACAATAAAAGGGGGCTAGGTGGACCGAAACCCTTCTCTTCTCGGTTTGGTTTTGGTGAGTTCAGTTCAGAGAAAACCCTAAAAAAATTAGGTCATGGTGCTTGGTGCTTTGTTTGAAAAGGGTGCTTTGATGGGCATGGAATAAGTAGATGGAAGATTTGAGAAATAGCCTTTGTTTTTTTAATTTCCTCCGGTGACCTAAAACATATACTAAAACAAACTGTGTGAAGCTGCCTTCAATAAGAGTGCATCAGATCTGTGTTGGCAAAGGAAAGACAAGTCACAGAGCTAAGAAATTAAGATGTTGGAGGAGTTGTCTTCGTCAGTTTGTCACTGTGCGCTTGAATATTTTCGCACATAAATCTTTTTTTTCGTTAAAAATAAAACCGTTTAACTGCAGGAGCAACACACAGCTCAAGCCAACAAGCCCTCCCTCTCTATAGGACCTTAAGAAATGACTTCCATTTGACTGAGAAAAGAAAGGTACAGTCGGACGATGGAGACGTGACTGCACCAAAAAACAAGGAAGACTCAAAGACGAAATCGATGGGGTTTTCATCTAAAAAATAGACAAAATAAAATAACACAGGTGCAATGTTTTTTTCCTTTTTCTTTCCCCTTCAATATTTTTGCAGGACCTAATAACTTGTGCTTCTTTTTCCTTTTCCAGCTGCTAGTGCTTAGACTCATTGCATACACACACAGAAGCAATAAAAACTGCAAAGCAATGGATGAATCAGAGCTCGGGTGGGACTTAAAAAGAAGTGAAAAAGCAGAAACCCCACCAATAAGCCCAGAGAGAGATGAGATGAGATGATGATAATACCGCAAGCACAATATTGCAAAAGTTGCAAGGGATGTAGCAGAGCTGTTCAGTGGATGCGATATCTACGCAGCTTGCCATTTCTACACTCACAAAAATATTAAGAAAGCTCCTCAATTGCACAAGAAGAAGAAGAAGAAGAAGAGGAAGAAGAAGAAGAAAGATGAGTTAGGACTTGCTTTCTGAGAGGTGTTGAGATGTATCACAACAGCAAAACCTAGATGGTCCTGGGTGGTATAAATAGAGGAAATATTTCAGAAAAAGGAGAGGATCGAATGGAGTGGCAAATGAGAGAGAGAGAGAGAGAGAGAGAGAGAGAGAGGAGAGAGAGAGAGAAGATGAAATTCTATGATAAAAAGGTGGGATGGGAAGTGGCCATGGCAGGCAGGAAATGCTGGGTCCGGGGTCCGGGAAAAGGGAGAACAGGAAAAAAGTTGGGATTTATTGATAACTGGGTTTGGGTAGAGAGTAAAAAGTGGGGGCGAGAGCAAAAAGTGGGGGAGAGAGCTTTCAGATATTAGGCAGGGTTAGGGCTAGAGGAGGAAGAGAAGAGGTTTTGGTTGCATTACCATAGATATCATGTCCTTCCAACTTGAATTACTTCTGGATTCTGATACATTTTTCTAGACTAGTTAACTCTACCGCCCCCCAGGTAGACACCTAGTGTAGTTTCTTGTTTTTTTTTTTATTTTTTTTCTTGAATGTTTTTTTGTATCATATAACATTGTTAGTGAAAAATTCACAACCAATATTATATATGTATTGACGGAAGAAAATAGCTGTTATATTTTATGAATGGATATCCTATCTATATACTCAATCTCTGAGAGCAGCCTGTAAGTATAGAAATTTTCAACTACAGCAGAAAAAAAGTGAAATGATGTATGCGATTTAGTCGGCACGTGTTTAGTATAATTTTCTATTTGGCCTTTTTGAATGGTGTAGCTTCTGTTATTTGACAGTATTATCTCAGTAACTTAGGTTTTAAACAATGTTTTATACATGGGTTGTGTATGAATTTAACGAAAAAAAAAAAAAAAAAAACAGATCTTGAGACAAGCTAATCACTTAATCATGCCCAAACATCAAAAGATCTGCGTACCTTTCTTTTTGCAGACAAGATGTTTACATAGCTTGTGAAGTCAATTTGAGTACATATAAAACTGAATTCATTTTCTTCTTTTGTGAGGGAAAAAAAAGAGAGTATTTTTGCACATATATGTCCCTTTTCTTCCAGGCATAGACATATATATGCCCTTCAAGCGAAGCAAAGTATGAGCGACCACACACGCCCTCATCAAACCTGCTTTTTTTCTACAGCGGACGAGGGGGGCGACATTTTGACCCTCCCTGTCAAATAATGCCACGATGTGGACAGTATAGAGCCATGAGCCACTTGATGAATTGGGTATGTTCTCACGCATGCATGCCATGCATTGCCTTGCATTGCATGCACCATACATGGATCTGTGCACTTAATTGGAGGCTGCATTTACTGCCATGTATGTGTGTCTGCCTGTATGGGTGAATGGACCACAAGAATGATTGTTTGTGAAGGGACCCTGTGGAGTAATTTCAATGATGATGGGCGACAGATTATTGCGTCGACTCATTCTGTTATTAGGTCAAGTCAATTACATATTTAAAAAATATCAATCTCTATATAATGGGGATAATTGTCCAAAAATTCTTAAACTTATTGTACGGTAGCCAATTTGGTTATAAATCTTCAAATTGTGTCAATTTAGTCTTGAACTTATTGACGATTATCCAATTTAATCTTAAATCTATTATTTGGATATTTGACCAGAAAAACTACATTGGCTAATTGTCAAAATATTTAGGACTAAATTGGCAAATCATCAAAAGATTTAAGACTAAATTGGCACAATTGAAAGGTCTATGATTAAATTGACAAAGTTTCGAAAGGTTTATGACTAAATTGGCACAATTGAAAAGTTTAGGACTAAATCAGCCTCCGTATGATAGGTTTACGACTTTTTGGACAATTTTCCCCTATATAATGGATTAATCTCAAATACACCACCAGTGCAATTTTTTTTTTTGTACACAATTCACATCCATCACCATTGATTTGGATAGTTGGTTGAATTTTTAGAATAAAACTACCTATATCAATGATGGTGGAGGTAGGTTGTCGTTGTACTATATATATTTGGGTTACACAAACCGGGTAGCATATGAAAATCCTTATGTATTTTGGGGCATACAAAAGGAAAACATAACATGTTTCCAACAATGTTAATTTGTCATATGTTGCGATTAGTTATGTCCATCACTTCCTTCGTATCTACTTTTATTGTGAGCAATTCTTCACAGCGACAGAGGAAATGCGAACATAATAATTGAGAGGTTCTATTGAGCTGTGTTGGGAAAGTTAATCTATAAGCCTTATTGGAAAATTATTGCAGGTCCATGCGTGGCTTAGGTCTAGGTTAATTTTCCAATGAGATCACATAGGCTAGGGATATAAATGTGGCCTTCTGTACATAAGTAAAACAAGGCTATAGGTAGGTACGGAGTATACTGAAACACAGTATTGTTGTCACAAAAATTAATGAAATGTCTTGAATTGGCTTTCTTCTCAATTAGGTTGGAGGAAAACATGCCTAAAGTACGTAAATGGATTGATATGCTGATCTAGTTGATCGTTGAGAAGGAATCTATATATACTATTCACATAAACCTATTGTACAGCAGTCAATTTAGTCCTAAATCTTTCAACTGTGCCAATTCATTTTTGGTCGGAAACTGTGCCAATTTAATCCTAAACCTTTTAATAAATTGCCAATTTAGTCCTAATGCTTTTAACGAATTGCCAATGTAGTTCTTCTAAGTAATTTTGGTCGAAAATCGCCGAAGACTACATTGGCAAATCATTAAAAGGTTTAAGACTAAATTGACAAATTGTCAAAATGTTTATGACTAAATTGGCACAACTGAAAAATTTAGAATTGAATTGGCCGCTGTACAATAGGTTTATGACTTTTTAGATAATTTTCCCTATATTGTAGCTCTGTAGCTTGCTTATTTTGGATGCTCTGACAACCAGCTTAGCTAATAAATCCTCTGAAGGTAAGAGCAAATATTCACTTCTTTACTCATAGCTGCAAATATTCTTCTCTTACCTTGTAAGCTTCTTCAGAATCCGAAGTGATGAGAGGCGACATGAAGGCTCAACAGCTTAGTACGTGACTAACCCCACCTCATTATTCAAGGTTCAAAAGCTTACCCAAAAATAGACTAAAGTGGAACATTTTATCACAAGATCAATTGATTTGAAGAGGAAACCCAAGTATGCTGGCTATCCGAAAGAAAGGAAAGAAAAGAAAATCCACTAAACCTGGACAATACAAAAATCCATAAGTGATTTTGAGTTGAAATTGACGCTTGAAGTCTCGGTTGTACCATCCCAATCACATGTCGGGCGACAAGGTCCAGACAAACTTCTTTAATTGGAGAAGTACGTAATGAATGAAATGCATAGCCGCGGTTTAGGGTTGCGATTCATAATTAACAATATCGATTATAAACAAGAGTTATACCAAATGCCTCGATTTGATTTCACCAGTTGAAGATCTTGTTTCAAATAGTATTAGTTGCTGTTAAATGAACAGCCTAGCTTTCCGACACTAGTGATCAGATGCCCAACATCCCAATCCTGGTGTTGTATTAAACAACTCCACCCGAGCCTTGCTGCCACTCGATAAAACATTTTCAACTTGGGTAGTAATTCGCTCATCTATACGACGAAACTTACGCTACAAATATCTACAAAATTTCGTTTCATTCAACCCAATTTTTTTTAATGAATGCCACTGATATTGTCTCCACTTTGGTCATTCTTACAAGAGTACTATTGGAATTCCTTCACGTACATTTTTGCAGTCCACTCTAACTCAAACTTACGACTTCGAGACCTATAAATCGATATACAATGTCAGTTGAGCCCAAATGTTCTCTGGCATGGCAATGATGTCCAAATCCTAACAACACCACATAGAAAGTTACTTATTGCTAGTAAACAGGATTATGGATGGGCTTTCTCAAATTTGGCTTGATTAGAAGTTCATTACCCGGGACGACTCTTCTATCAACTCTCAAGTGTAAAACTAGAAAATGCATTTGACAAGACGTTCATGACCAACCTATATACAATTGCGCATATTCTCTTCTATACTATCTGCGTTGGACTCTCATATTCTACAGGAGCATTTTCTGCGCACTTAACTTACAAAACGTGAAAAGAGATGAACTATCCAAAGATCTACACACTGAGATTAAATGAAGTAATCAGGTTTCAGACTGAAGAAGAAATGAGGACTACTCACGCAAGTTGCTCCTCATCCTCCCTTGAGGGTTTGCCATGCCCACTCGAAAGCACCAACTGTGAATTGAAAATGGTAAGCGATCATGCAAAGAGGACTCCATTTGGCGGCATCTAATGATCGGGTGAGAAATTAAAAGGTGCTACGCTGGAGTAGGTTGAGTTCTCAAGGAGAATGGCAAGTAATGCGACTGAGTAACCTAAGTTCATAAACCAATGAATTAATCATTTGTCAGTCCAACCTTCCAACATTTATCAGGTCAACCAACCTCAGAGAGAGAAGGCAATGGCACATGATACTCATTTTCAGTTGGAGATTTTCACCAATATATTATGCTTCGCAATGTTTTACCCACATACATGCCAAGTGTTAAGAGAGAAATGTCAAAACTAGTGGACATTGAAACACATTCCAGTGACTGAAAGTTTAGAGAGGAATGATATCACGGCAAACTGTCCGTAGAGAATAAAGGCCCTCTCCAATCAAGAATCAACTTGGAGAAAAGCTACGTCTCTTGAGGAGATAGAAACTGCGGCTATCCTAGAAACAGGTTTTTAGAGCTGCCAACTGCCAAGAAACAGGCTCTCTCCACTGAAGACGAAATTCAAATGTGAAAATGAAATAAAAAATAGCATTCATTATCCTTTACTCTGGAGAGCTAATGTTATCCCAGGTGTTAGAAAAACACAAGGACCAGCAATTGTTTGTAACGCGAGACAGAATTTAGTAAAAAGGCATTCATTTCGGTACTAATGAGTGCACATCTTGTGCTCATACCTGTTCCATTGGTACAAGTTCTGGACCCTGAGAGCCCACAAATCTTCAAATAAAATGAGGGAGGAAAGATGAAAAGACCACAATACATTCCTATGCAGAATGTGTATTCAGTATATCATTTCTGTCTGAAACAAGGCCCAGATCTGGTCCACCTCCAAAATATGCAATCAAATCTAAGCCAGCTACACGA